TTTGACCTTTGAAAGGTTAAACAAGGTTACCGCTCTTAGATGAGAACTAGTGAGCTTTTTAGGGTTTTAAGGTTCACGGTGGTTGCACGAAATAGTCCGGGAACACTTTGGACACCAATCTGGAGTTTGACTTTGTCTGATTTCAATAATATTTCTTCCATCTTTAAATTCCACCCATTCACTGCCGAGATCCAGTGATGAGCCTTAATGGGTCAGGCTTTCATCGCTTGTGGCATTATGCCGCGGGTTACCGCGACTCTGAAGCAGGTCACATCAACATTGCACCTGATACCAGCCACACCCTCGGGTCGTCGAGATCAGTGGCGTGGTCAAAAACTGCCAAAAAACTGAAACAACTGTAGGGGGAACTTCACATTTTTACGTCTTGTCCGTATTGATCAAGTCAGTGCCCAATAAATTCAGTGATCCAGGCGGCAAATTTATCAGCATGGCTAGCACGATTAATATAAGGGCTCGTCCGTATCGGATCCGATGTCGACCAGTTCATGTCTGAAGCTGCTGGCTGCTACTCGGCGACAGCTTTTCCGGCACCGGTGTCGCAGGTCTGGGTACACTGGTGGCAGTGATGGGGGCCGATACTGACACAGTAGTCATTCAGCGCGTCCGGTGCAGCACTGGGCGCTGACACACCTTCCTTGCTGCCGATGATGGGCCACTGTGCGGCTAGACGCTGCTCGGCCCCGCTCTGTCGAACCCTCGCTGCAGGTGAGCCGCTTGTTCCCTCCCTTTGCTACAGGTGAGCCGCCTGTTCCCTCCCTTCGCAGCAGGCGAACCGCCTGGTCTCTCTCGCTGCAGGTGAGCCGCCTGTTCTCTCCCTTCGCTGCAGGTAAGTCGCTGTTCTCTCGCTCGCAACAGGTGAGCCGCCTGGTATCTGCCTCGCGCAGGCGAGCCGCCTGGTCTCCCCCTCGCAGCAGGTGAGCCGCCTGGTCTCTGCCTCGCTACAGGTTGAGCCGCCTGGTCTCTGCCTCACCGCAGGCGAGCTGCTGTTCTCCCCCTCGCAGCAGGTGAGCCGCCTGGTCTCTCCGCACAGCCGCGGACACTGCCGACTCAGATACCTGCTGTAGTCACGCTGGCCACCAAGCTCCAGAATCTGCCGCCGGCCTGTGAGCACCCGTCGCGTTCCACCAAGAAGTAGGTGCTCCACGTGTCGTACCTGTACGCGGATACCCCAGCGGTCTACTGTGACAAGAGAGCGGGACTCTAACCGGAGCTGACCGGCTGCTGATGGAAGCCATTCGGTCCATCATCCGCATGCGTCCTCGCTGGGCGGTGCGGCCGGTCCGTCTGATCCAGCCGTTGAAGCGAGGCACGGCAGTGTAGTCGTGTCGGTTATCGGGGTAACACCGGGTCGACCGGGCGCGCGCCACTTGATTTGAGGGGTTTGTCGCAACGATGTCCAGCAGTGTGTCAGAAGGCGGATCAATCACTGACCGGGCGATTCAACAGTAGTTTTCAGCAGGCAACAGTTGAGACCACCGGACTCTCTCCACTGTAGCCTCTGAATGGTTCACAAACACTGTAATGACATTCTAGGTCCCCTGGAGCTGGCATTCTAGGTTTTCAAGATTGACGACCACCTGAGCAGACTAGCCGGTGGGCAACGCCGAAGAGGGGTGCGAGGTGAGCCAATTTAACACAATTTGACCCATAGTATTCCAGACTGTTATTACTTACGCCTGTTGCAGCAGGTCTAGGGAAAATCTCGACTCGATGCGCGTCTTGAATCTGCAGGAACTCAAGGGAATCAAGGGAATCCGCCGCATCGCGTGGCTATCTCGCCGCTGGCCGAGCGGCCGCAAATAAACAGCCTATAACCGTAGAAAGTGGGCGGAGTATTGGCGACATTCTGAGTCAGCCAAGTGGCCACTATTGGTGGAACGCTTCAACGCTGGTCACTATTACCACACGCCCGAAATCTTGGACTGCGATTGCGCTGTGAGCAGGCCCTGCACTGTTCGCGTAGCTGTGATCCCTGTGAAGAATCGTGTATGCCCTAGCTTTTGAGGACAACCAGATTGTCTTATTTCGAGGCCTGGTTTCAAGGCCCATTTCACGAGTAATCTAAACTGCTTTGGACGATCTGTGACATCTTGCAACCGGTAAAGGTTTTCATTTTCTTTGTGGGCAGTGATAAATCACTGTTGCCACAGGATATCATTCGGTGACATTAGAACTCGGCATTAACAAAATGACACCAAACCCATGTTCGCCAAACTGCTTATTAATGTTTCACATCAACGGTATCGACTCAGCTTGTGACGCATCAGGCCTGCGGTAATCAGCTCTCTAAGAAATGAAAAATAGTGCCAAAAGACGGCTGCATCTTGGATGAGTCCTACGTGGGACACCACGGCACAGCTGTGGTGCGGTGAATAATAAAACACGACAATGCATGCATTCAGGATCTACAGGTATAGCACGAAAGAGCAAAAACAAATAAGATAGTCACGGGAGATCACATCATGAATGTTACAAAGCACTGTGCAGGTTTCACAACAACCTCGCGTGCAGTTGTCCGACCTTGAAATGCAAAGATTTGAAAGCCTTTTTTGTAAGGATGCAACCATTAGCATCTTCTGTTAAGCCCTTCTGCTAGATTCCGTGAATGCTGTAGCTCGTGAACCACCCAGCGGACTAGTCCACGTGTGGTTGAGTCCTTCTGAGGGCGTTCTAAACCAGAAAGGGTGACTTTGCCGCCGCCGGCCACTTCGTTGAGTTTCACGAGTCGATTAAACCCACCATAAGCTGTCTGACCCAGGGCTTACAGTAAGCTCTTGCTCAACTTAGGCCATTTAGGCTAGAGGTTATCGTCTGCGCCGCAATCTCAGCACACCAGTCCTCTGAAGTGACAGAAAATAAACAATCCAAGCCATCGAGGAAAAGAACAGAAACCACCGACACCATTGCGCCTGCGAAGCCTCGCAGCTTTTTCATGGGTGCTGTTCAGATCAGGGCAAGGGCTGGACGCAGCCCATGGTGGCCGCTGTGGTCCTCTCTCTACCCCGCGATCGGTGCTGCTTGCGCCGAATAGTCTTGCTGTGTCACCTCTCTGACAACAATGGCTCCGTGGGGGGTGGGGTGGGGGGCGGGGGGAGGGCGTCAATGCGGCTTCTCGGCCCGGCCGTGCGGCCAGTACTCGCCTCCCGCCGCAGCCACATCAGCCTCGGTGGCACCACTCCGCCCCCCCCCCCCCCTCCTCCTCCTCTTCCCGGTCCCCCGCGCCGTAGCTGTCAGGCTCTGCTCCCCTTCCCCCAGCAGCTTCAAGAGACCAACCTCACCAAAGATGTGACAGACGCCGGATGACTTTCTACTGTGCAGTCACGCAACAGATGTGTCAGACTCCACGACATTCACCACCACAGCTGTGTCAGACACCTGGTCACTCCTCATCACAGCCGTTTCAGACGCCAGGTCTTTCCTCACCGTATTTGTGTCAGACGCCATGTCATTTCCACTCCAGATGAGTGATGAGTGAGACGCCAGGAAACTGGAGCGCTGGCACAGGGCCCCTCACGCCGGCTAGCACATATCCCCTCGCTCACCCGGCGCCTGTCAGCCCCTTCCCCCTCCCTACCACTCCCCCTCCTTGGCTGCCTCACATCATCGGCGGTGCACACCGCCCGCCGCCTCTCCCCATCGGCGGTGCACACCGCCCGCCACCTCGCCCTATGGGCGGTGCACATCGCCTGCCTGTACACCACCCTATCGGCGCTGTACACCGCCCGCTGCCCCTCCCCATCGGCGGTGCACACCGCCCGCCGCCCCTCCCCATCAGCGGTGCACACCGCCCGCCGCCTCTCCCCATCGGCGGTGCACACCGCCCGCCGCCCCCTCCCCATCAGCGGTGCACACCGCCCGCCGCCCCTCCCCATCAGCGGTGCACACCGCCCGCCGCCCCTCCCCATCAGCGGTGCACATCGCCCGCCACCCCCTCCCTATCGGCGGTGCACATCGCCTGCCGCCCCTCCCCATCGGCGCTGTACACCGCCCCGCCACCTCTCCCCATCGGCGGTGCACACCGCCCGCCGCCTCTCCCCATCGGCGGTGCATTCTGCCCGCCGCCCCTCCCCATCAGCGGTGCACACCGCCTGCCGCCCCTCCCCATCAGCGGTGCACATAGCCCGCCACCTCTCCCCATCGGCGGTGCACATCGCCCGCCACCCCTCCCTATCGGCGGTGCACATCGCCTGCCGCCCCTCCCCATCGGCGCTGTACACCGCCCGCCGCCCCTCCCCATCGGCGGTGCACACCGCCCGCCGCCTCTCCCCATCGGCGGTGCATTCTGCCCGCCACCTTTCCCCATCGGTGATGCACACTGCCCTCCGCCTCTCATCATCGGCGCTGCACAGCACGCACCGCCTCTGTCATCGGCGGTACACACTGCCCACCGCCTCTCATCATCGACGCTGCACAGCACGCACCGCCTCTGTCATCGGCGGTACACACTGCCCTCTGCCTCTCATCATCGGCGCTGCACAGCACGCACCGCCTCTGTCATCGGCGGTACACACTGCCCTCCGCCTCTCATCATCGGCGCTGCACAGCACGCACCGCCTCTGTCATCGGCGGTACACACTGCCCACCGCCTCTCATCATCGACGCTACACACTGCCCGCTGCCTCACATCAACGCTACACACTACCCGTCGCCTCTCACCATCGACGCTGCACACCGCCCGTCGCCTCTCATCATCGACGCTGCACACCGCCCTCCGCCTCTCATCATCGGAGCTGCACAGCGCCCACCGCCTGTCATCGGCGCTGCACACTGTCCGTCGCCTCTCATTATCGACGCTGCACACTGCCCGCTGCCTCACATCGACGCTGCACATTGCCCGTCGGCTGTCATCATCGATGCTGCACACCGCCCCCCGCCTATCATCATCGGCGCTGCACACCGCCCCCCGCCTCTCATCATCGGCGCTGCACAGCGTCCACCGCCTCTGTCACCGGCGGTGCACACTGCCCGCCGCCTCTCACCTTCGGTGAATCGTGGCCCGGACGATACCTCCGCAGACGCGCCGCATTCGTCTCCATGCATCAGGGTGACGTCAACGACGGCAGCATCGGTCACGTGGTCGGCGGCGGGGACGCCTTCGATGACAACCTGGAGCAGGCGATGGCCTGCGTAAACGCTCCCGCTGCGAGACACAACCCCGCGTGCGGCCTTTGAGCCATCATCGGTTCGAAGGGGTGTTCCACATTTGTATGGGATTTTGAAGTGAAATGGCTAAGATCATTCGGTGCAGTTCACAGCTCTACCCTTCTTAAGACGTGAAGCATTTTAGTTTCTGAGCTACACCGCGCAAAGATGTACAGATTATTTCGAGGAGACTTTTTCCTGGTCACCCAGGCATTCATGACGCTGTAATAACGTCGCAGATCGGCCTCCGGAGCTTGTCACGAGCAACGGCGCGTGAAGTTGAGCAGCGTTGGTCGTGCGGTGTGAGTCTCAGGGCGTATTACAGCTTAAGTTTGTGTATTTCCGCGTTATAATTCTGCTAATTATAATATATTATAGCATATAATATATCTATAATAATTCGGTAGAGTCATGTTGCCGAAAGATCAACGCATCTATATCTCCATTCTCCTGTTGTCTTTTCTCTCCTAGAACAAAGTTATTGCTACTGTCGTATCTGCGTGAATAACGTGCCTCGCAAGTGCACTTACTAATTTAAGTTACATTAAGAAATAGAAAGGTGTATATGAATTTTGAGGGTGGTTGCTTTAAGTTTTGGACCATTTTTTGTTGATGAGGAAAGCCTCTGCCTATTTTCTTGTCAGTTTTGAAGTGTGGTGGGCATCAGCTTAGTGATAAAGTTAGGCTTTAGATGATAGGTGGTGTTACAGGTTCTAGGGCATTATCAGTTACAGCCAGGGTACTCAAGCTATAAGTATATACTTGCATTGCTTAATAGCTTTTTTCGGTTTAAGTGAGCATTGACTGTGCTGTGTAGTTCTTCATTGACCAGACATAGGTAGCGTTTTCGGAGTTAACAGAAGATAGTGTAAGATTACTTAAAGTTCGAGTTATAACCAGCTTGTCAAACAGAGTTCTGAGTGGTTTAAGTGCTCGTTTATTTATTTTGAATCAGTACTAGGGCAAGAAAGTGTGAATGCAGGTGTGAGCTTATTAACCGGGAGATGGTGAGGAGGAGCTAGGGAAGGTGCATAGTGTGTGTATAGAACTTAGGAGTGAAAATGTAGTTCCAAGGGAAAAACTACAGATCTTCAACAATAGGTAGGATTGTATAGAATTCAGTAAGGCCGAGGAGTTGGCAGCTGTGCGAACTGAGTGCGGGGCAGTTCCCACAGATCGACGCGGAGGCCCCCATTGATGCTACTGTATTTGTTATTGTCGGCGTAAGGCGTCCAATAAGTCAAAAACTCCAGTTCGGTTTAACCAGGCCCCTGGCTGAAACGGGGCGGGCGGGGCACCGTTCCGTGCCTGGGCCTCTGACTGACCCGGGGCTCTTCCATCCTCTATTGCCGGCTCTTTGATCCCGAGCCTCCATGTTTCACTTCAATGCGAGAGGGCCCCGCCCAAGGCAGCAGGCTGTCTCACATTCAAGGCCTTGTCCCTCTCACTGCTGGGCGAATGTGCACCTGGCAGACCCAGAGCCCGTTTCCAAAACAGAGCCCCCATTAGCCAATGTGGGCCCTGGCCGACATAGGAGCCCCCTCATTGTTGCAGGGACACCGAATAATGCAATTTACGGTCCAGGCCTTGTCTGCTCGGAGAAATCGGCCCCCAGGGTCCAGCCCGGCACGGAGCCCGCTGCTCATTGTTGGCGGTCTCTGACTGGCCAAGAGGACATGAGGGTCCCGTGAGATCTTGACCGACGCGTGAGGTCCCCTGGCTGGCATTTTACGGCGTGGTCCTGCATGCCGGTGTTCCGTAACACGTGCCCGGGTGGCCGGTTGGATACGACGCGCTCGAGTGGGGGTCAAGTTCACCTCTCTGAAAACTAAAAAAAAAACTAAGAGAGTTAAAAACTTAATTCTCATGGTAGGTATGCGAGATGTGAGCTAGTTTGTATCGAAATTTGAGGTTTCTAGGTCATAATATCAAGGCCAAATACGACCAAACAAGGTCAAACTCCAGATTGGTGTCCAAAGTGCCCCAGATCTTCTCATGCAGCCGCCTCAAGCCTAGATGCCTGTTCTAAGCCAAATATAATATGGGTTCAATGCAGGTCAGCGACCTTTTTTGACCCTAACAAGCTTATGGTGGCCAAATATAGGTGATATTACTTTAGTTTTGAATTCGGACAACCTTCAATGATTACGCTAGGCGGCGTGTTCTTCAAAACAAAAAATTGATCAGCGTCGTATTGGGTCAGCGACCTCCTATGGCTTTCAAGAAGTTCAGGGAGGATGTCTGCTGTCGTCCCTGTCACCAGGAAATTCGAAATGGGCATCAAAAACTATCCCATTAAGAAAATCATCCAATAAAAAGGCAGACCGGTTTCGACCCCCGTGTGACCTCAGTACCTGACCCAAGGTCATTGACAGTTGTCTTTGTCCTAAATTCATTCGTCAAACTGTCTGAGAAACTATCTCAGAGATGAAAAGCTTCATTTAAGACTGAAATATTTTGCCTCCCCCCACGCAAGCGCGTGTTAATACGACTTCCGGCCAGCCATTCGGACCCTTCGGGCCCTCCAATCAGTCTATTGATCCTCGGTTCCAAGAGCATAAGGGACCCAAAACCCTGGCAAACGGGATGGGGAGCCTGTACCTCTGTATCCTTCGTCCCCCTGCCTGCGTCCCTGATAATCATCATTTACTCCTGACGAGCAATAATTCAAGGAACACTGAGAAAGAATGCTTGCCAAATGGCATATGATGCGAGAGGACATGGTGTGCATGACATCTCGACTGGTCTATTTGTCAGCGGCAGTCACACTAAATAGGGTAATGTACGCTTATCATTGGAAATCACATGAGGCCAGCTCACAGGTAATGAGCGAACGCGATATGCCACACTTACTTGTGGTTATGAGTGGATGCGGCTGACCCATTGATTTCTTTATAAAATGTGAGCCAGAAGATTAAAACAGGTCAAATGAGGGGCCTGCTCCTGACATGGCACGGATTTGGCGGGCCTCGACCTTGGTCCCTCTCCTCGGTGTGACTTACCTTTGGTCCCTTGTCATGCCGGCAGGATTCTGAGGCACAAGAACATGCTCTCGGGTCGTGATAAAGTGCAACATTGTACAAATTATTTTGCAGGTCCCAGAGTGTCCTGAAGTTACATGCAGATGTTAGCTTTTCGGGTACCTTGTGTAACCTTTGATGTCGGAAAGACCTTCAACAATGCTGATGCGCTTCATGACAGCCCGTTTTATTCACCCTCATTAAAGAAAGCAAGTTTTACTCATCGTCCAAAAACATGTAAACCGGTACTTCCATCCTTAATTGTCTCTGTCTCACAGCAGCATAGCGCTGACTTGAAACGTTTTATAAATAGCATGCCATGATTGGCCACTATGACTTCTGGTGTGTTAAGGTATAAGGTTATGAGCAAAAGCTGCTCCAATGGCAGCGAAACTGCGTGCGTGCGTGCGTGCGTGCGTGCGTGTGTGTGTGTGTGTGTGCGTGCGTGCGTGCGTGCGTGCGTGCGTGTGTGCGCGTGAGTGCGTGCATGCGTGTATGTGTGTGTGTGTGTGTGTGTGTGTGTGTGTGTGTGTATGTGTGTGTGTGTGTGTGTGTGTGTGTGTGTGTGTGTGTGTGTGCGCGTGTGTGTGTGTGTGTGTGTGTGTGTGTGTGTGTGTGTGTGTGTGCGCGCGCGTGTGTGTGTGTGTGTGTGTGTGTGTGTGTGTGTGTGTGTGTGTGTGTGTGTGTGTGTGTGTGTGTGTGTGTGTGTGTGTGTGTGTGTGTGTGTGTGTTGTGTGTGTGTGTGTGTGTGTAATGCGGGTCATGACCGCCTAATCACCATTGACCCATGGTTACTTGGTTCCTCTGCTCGCCGTCGATAGAAGGAATAATGACGTGTTTCTGCGGCAAAAAACTAATGCTTGCGATAATCCCAAGGCGACACAATAATGAAAAAAGTTACCCTTTGTCCATGCATTTGTTAATAGGCCCACCATTCATACAGTGACACAAACAAGGAAAACAAACGAAAGAATTTACATCACGCGCAACCTACACACCATTAATCTCGCGAGCCTGGAAAACAACCACGCCGGCGGGCTGGCGCGTTGGTGGCGGTCGGCGGGCGGTTTTGGCAGCGCACGTGGCCCGTGTGGTGCCGTAAAAGGCGCGAACAGGTGGCGGCAGTGCCGGTGGGGTGTCTCCACTGGTCCTAATCGAATCAGACGCGCTATCAGCCCGGCCCGGGCCGGCCGACATGGCGCCGCTGGTCGCATCTGCATGCGGTCGAGACAAACGGGCGGCAGGCGGGAAGAGGAGCAGCCACCTAAGGCCGCCGGGCGGCTGCAGAGACACGCGACCAGAGCTCGGCCTCGGCGCATGCAACCTCGGCAACGTCAGATCCGATGGAGGAAGGACGGTCGTCGGGTCCGATGGAGGGATGATGGTCTTTGGGTCCGATGGAGAGAGGACGGTTATCGGATCTGATGGAGGGAGGGCGGGCGTCGGGTCCGATGGAGGGAGAATGAACTTCGGGTCCAATGGAGGGAGGACGGTCGTCGGATCCGATGGAGGGAGGACGGCAGTCGGGTCTGATGAAGGGAGGACGGCAGTCGGGTCTGATGAAGGGAGGTCGGGCGTCGGATCCGATGGAGGGAGGACGGTCGTCGAGTCCGATGGAGGGAGGACGGTCTTCGGGTCCGATGGAGAGAGGACAGTCGTCGGATCTGATGGAGGGAGGACGGGCGTTGGGTCCGATGGAGGGAGAATGAACTTCGGGTCCGATGGAGGGAGGACGGTCGTCGGATCCGATGGAGGGAGGAAGGCAGTCGGGTCTGATGAAGGGAGGACGGGCGTCGGATCCGATGGAGGGAGGACGGTCGTCGGGTCCGATGGAGGGAGGACGGTCGTCGGATCCGATGGAGGGAGGACGGCAGTCGGGTCTGATGAAGGGAGGACGGGCGTCGGGTCCGATGGAGGGAGGACGGTCATCGTCACAGGCAGGCGCGGTCGCGGCGGGCGGTGAGGCAGCGCTGAACGCAGCTATGGCGGTGTGGAATGTCGGAGGGTATGGGGGCTCGGCAGGCATGGAGTGTCGGGGTGTACAGGGCCCCGTCAGAGCTGGAGCGTCGGAGGGTACAAGGCCTCGTCAGAACTGGAGCGTCGGAGGGCACAGGGCCTTGTCAGAGCTGGAGTGTTGGAGGGTGCGGGGCCTCGTCAGAGCTGGAGTGTTGGAGGGTACGGGGCCTCTTCAGAGCTGGAGTGTTGGAGGGTACTAGGCCTCGTCAGAGCTGGAGTGTTGGAGGGTATAGAGCCTCGTCAGAGCTGGAGCGTTGGAGGGTATAGGGCCTCGTCAGATCTGGCGTGCTGCCCGCCCATTGACATCAAACGCGGTCCACCACAGCGAATGGGGATTAGTTATTGTAGTACGACTCACCCTGGACCTTCGCCGGTCTGACCGCGCGACATTAACTGTGACCTACTCGGGGTATTTCCGCAACAAGGCCTGGTGACACGAATGGTCAAAGCGCCCCTTTAAAAGCTGCGTGTGAGATGAAGCATACGTTGAGTCCGTGGTGCAAGCAAGGGGCACAAGGGCACGTGCCCCCGCCCCTTCTCACTCCACCCTTAGGTCCCCACGGGCCCGAATGACAATTAGGGTCCAATTTGAGTGTCGAAGTGTCCAAAAGGCCTGTTGAAGGTCTTGTTCAGGATCCCCGGCTCGCAGTACCGGGCACTTAATTACCAGCCGGAGGACCCTGCCCGCCGATCGGGAGGCCAGTGAGTCGATAAGGTCAGAATATATTACTCAGAAACCACCAGTAATGCGCAGTCGGCTCCGTGTCGGCATGAGCCTTATACGTCGGTCGGGACCCCAGCGTCGGTCAGAGACCCATAGCGTTTAACAGGGAACCCATTTTGCCAAGAGGCCCCGAGTGGGCCAGAGCCAGGGTTCCAGGTGACCCGAAGAAAGCCTGGAAGGCGGACCTGGGCCGACGATCAAGGGCCCGATTGGAACGCCTAAGGGCATGTAGGGCTGGCCGGATTTTTATTCGTGGCCCGGCCTGCGGGGACGGGACTTCAGTCAGATGGCCTTCGTCCCGATTGGCGACCCCCTGAGTCGATGAGGACCTATATATCGGTCAGACACCACCAGTATCACACAATCGGTTCCGTGTTAGGGGTGTGAGGGCCCACTTCCAAAGCAGCGAGAAAGCCGGGCCAGCGATTTCCATTGGTCACTGTCCTGCATCTTTCAGAGACCCACAGTGCCTCACGGGGATCCTTGCAAGCCCCGAATCGACCAAAGACAGAGTTTAACGACGTCTGAAGACGGGCCCGAGGAGTCCGCCGGCACCGACGTTCAGGGCCCGATTGGAGGCTGAGGGGTGAGGAGCTGGCTGTGGATCTCATGAAGGGTCCCGGCTCGTAGGACCGTGGCCTGAAATATCAGTCAGAGGGCCTTTTGCATTTACTGAGGACTCAGAGACAGTACCGGCTTTTATGTCAGTCAGAGACCGTCGACATCCAACGTTGGCTACGTGTCGGTCTGAGCTCTGGGGGCTACTTTCCCGAACAGGGACCAGGCCGGACCCGCGATTTTCACTGGTCGGAGCCCCGTAAAATGCGGGGCCCCGGTGTCGGTTACTGACCCACGGTGCCTAGCAGTGTGTCCTGCGTCAGCCAGGGGCCTCGATTGGGACATGGGAACAGGGACGGAGACGGATTGCTGAGCAGAGACGGAGACGGGACCCCGAATACCATAGAGCCTCTCGCCCTAGTGCCCTCAATGAAAGAAAACATGATAGCTTATGATTGAGTGTACATTGATTTGAGATTAGATTTACATTGATATTTTGAGATCAGGGGTTACATTGAGAAAACGAAAAGGCCCTGTGTCATTCAGGGCCCATAACCGAACGATGGGCCCGCAAACCCAATTCCAGCCATGTGCCCGTTATGCCTGACTTGAGTCTGTGCACCAATAATTGGATAACCTGCGGCAATCACGGACCTTGTGGCGTCAATGAGGGCTTATGCGTCGATCGGGTGCTCGCTGCACTGTTCAGAAGGCCTTCTGCGGCTGGGAGGGGGCCAATGTGGTATGACTTATCCCGCTAAGGGCCTCGGGGTCGACCAGGGGGCCCCACCCCCCGGGCCACAAGAATGGAAGGCGGAAGTCACCTGGCGCTGTAACGGAATGGAATGGCCCTTAAGCCCGTTACCAGCAACGATAATGTGCTTCCGAGTGCTTTCATTGGTATCATTGGTATATCAGTGGTCTCACTGAATCCCATTGGTATTAAATAGGGTGAGTCCAAATTAATTAAAAAATGGAAAGGCCATCCCATGTCTGCCTGCGAACGTTCATTATATTGAAAAATCGCCTGGTGAAACAAATCACATCAAGCAGCATTGTGCCTACGGGTTCACAGTCTCAGGAGCAAGAACAGGGATGGCCGGCGTTACAGCCTCCTTAAAACCGAACGGCGTCGGCCGCTGCAGGCAACACCAGGCGGCAGGCGCCGTGCGCGCGAGAACGACCATTGTGAAATAATTTCCCTAAATGTCCTGCAAAATCAATTCATACTGTTCAAGGATTATCCCGGGGCATCTCTTTTTTATTTTGAGCTTGACCTTCGGACAGGTAAGCTGTCACAGCAACACGAAGCATAGAAATTCCACCTTTACTCTTCCAGTTACACCAACAATTCCCAGCACCACTCCGCAATGCTGTAAAGGCTAATCCGTTCTTATCAACTGAAAAACTGCGCCGGTGAAATACACTCTTGGACCACATTTTAAGTTTATGAAATGATGTCCTGTGTCAGTCAAAAATACTTTTTCAGATGGGTCATCTTTTTCGTCTGCCCGTTGGCCTCCACTCAATGTTAGCCGTGGGGCCGACGTCACGCGGTCTATGGGTCCTACAACGCTGGCTTCGAGGCTTTTGTTGCTGACATGGACGAGGCTGCATGTTCAAAACTATGTCAAATAGTCCATTTCATTAGTCGATTCTGGTTATGTTGCATAATCTATCTCACGTCGATTCTGGCGGAACGTTGAACATTGCCAGACAAACGCACGTTGGTTACTGCGTTGACGGGTTCTTTTTGACGAGCACCGAAGTTCTTTTGGCTCAGAAATAATAAATTGAGTCGTACAATGAGGAGCGCCGGTGATTTATTCCATGCGGTTGTTAAGCGCCTAATTTTTTCGGTTAACTGACGTTAAAATTCAAACAGAGTTGTTCCTGCTGCAGCTTCTTGTTTCTTTTCCAGTAAAAAATTATAAAGCAAAGAAAACCGTGCCTCTCATAAACAAGGCATATTCAGCCACTTGGGGGGGGGGGCTTCCTCCATCCGAGGGCCGTTTGTCAGCCCTGACGCTCCGCCCCTGGTCAAGACTGATTGCATTCCAATCCATGCATCGCCTCTGATTCGAACTCCCGACCTGCCCCCACCCCCACCCCCACCCCCACCCCCACCCCCACCCCATCCCCATCCCCATCCCACACTCCTGACCTGAAACGGTGACCCTAGCTGGGGCAGCTGGAATGTGTCCTCAGCGCGACCCCCGCGGCGTCTGCTGGAGATGATCGAGAGTCGCGACATCTGCAGGTCCACGAGCGGCTTTCTCGCCCGCCGGACGTAAACGCGAGGCTGACCTGCAAAGCAGAGGTCCTCCTTCACAGATGGCTAAGCGATGTGGCTGCAAATGGCATGCAAAGGTTGCCTTCCAGTCCAGTTACTGTGAGCTATAGTGCGGGTGGGACGGCCGAGCGGACGCGTTGGAGCGACGGCGGCTGTCCAGTTACTGTGAGCTATAGTGCGGATGCGATGGCCGAGCGGACGCGTTGGAACGACGGCGGCTGGGCAGTGCAACATCGAAGCGGTGTCGAGCTACATCTCTGGCGCAGGCACGTCCCTGTCCCGAACACTCGTCGGGACCCGCCTGGCATCCGAGGCCGTCCCCAGTGTCTGCACCAGGCGCTCAGAGTCTGGCGGTGGCGGAGCTGCGTGCCTGCCGGACCGGCTGACGCGCCGCCGCCAGTAGCCCGTGATGTCCGCCTGCCACCGCCGACAGTACCCCACCTGACCGGCGTCAGCGGCGCTGGCCGCCGCCATCAGGCTAAAATGGACACCGCTCGGCTGCTCCCCCGAGGCGTGCAAGTTTGATGGAACGCGTCAGCATGACGTCCGTCCGTGACAGGCTTTCAGGGTCCGCGGCAGGTCCGCAGTGGAAAATGCCAATCAGCAAAGGCAAGTTTTGGAAGGTACTCCATCGAGAACCCGAGCACGAAGTCTCCGATGCGGGACTTTTGCATACAACGGATTGGATGTCTAACGCTGGCTCTAAATTTCCTATAGGGATGAATAGCACCGTCCAGCTGCCTCCGGGCGCTGAACACACTGGCACGCGGCACTAATGCTGCTACGTGTTCATGACATCTTATCGCACTCGCGTGACGCTTAACTTTGTGACGCGCTTGAGCTCCATCGTACAGCTATGACGGCTTGGGAAAAGACGAAATAGCGCCAGCGGCCATGAGTAAGTGGCCATGAAAGCGGCCATGAGTAAGTTCCGACACAAAACATCAGTTTCCGCTGCTGGAGGGAGTTCGGAAAACCACTTTCACAAGCAAACGAATGCTTCAAGTCTAAAATGAAATAAATGCTGCAAAAACGTGTGGATTGACGACCATTTAGCGAAACAACTTGCAATGCGTTCTACAACGTAGAATTTCATATCAATCTTCGGTACTTGGTACCACCCGGTAACATGATACACATGCTTCTGCCACATTTGGATCCAGGTAGGATGTCATCGTGTCCTTTTTTCTAATGCACAGTCCATTAGAACCTGACGAGACTGAGATTAAGCCTGTCGTCCCAGCCATCGTTTCGTAGAGCCCCTCCCCCCCCCCCCCCCCCATACGATTTCCGTGTCCACATTTATATGGCATTGAACTGCGGCCGGCGGTATGATGTGGTATGGTATGGTATGAGGTGTTGCATTAGCAAGCATTACTGAGTTTGGCACCAAAACCAACCCGGGGTCATCAGCATATTACCCTCCTTGTATGTATGTACATGTTCTGTACCGACCCATGGCACCCAGTCTTCACGCATGGTAGATGGCTACTTACATAGGCGTGAACATATGACAACTAATTACAATCAAACGCGGATTCCAACAGAGCCGCTACCCGCAACCGCCCACCCGTCACTACAGCCAGCTGTAATGATCAACCCGTCACCGTCAGTTGTAACAGCCAGAATCACCATCACCTGACCGTGGTGACAAATGATGGAGCCGTCACGTTCGTGGTGACAAATGATGGAGTCGTCACGTTCGCACCATTGACGGATAGCGTCGCAGCCTCCCGATGTGGTGGGCGGGTTGGAAGCACCGCCACAAATATCTGCGAGATGACCTTCCAACCGACACCCCCATCACCTGTGACGATCGGAGCCCAGCATCACGGCCAATGCCGATGGCCCGCCTGTGACTACCGTCAACTGTGACGATCGGAGCCCAGCATCACGGGCAATGCCGATGGCCCGCCTGTGACTACCGTCAACTGTGACGATCGGAGCCCAGCATCACGGGCAATGCCGATGGCCCGCCTGTGACTACCGTCAACTGTGACGATCGGAGCCCAGCATCACGGCCAATGCCGATGGCCCGCCTGTGACTACCGTCAACTGTGATGATCGGAGCCCAGCATCACGGCCAATGCCGATGGCCCGCCTGTGACTACCGTCAACTGTGACGATCGGAGCCCAGCATCACGGCCAATGCCGATGGCCCGCCTGTGACCATCGTCAACTGTGACGATCGGAGCCCAGCATCACGGGCAATGCCGATGGCCCGCCTGTGACCATCGTCAACTGTGACAATCGGAGCCCAGCATCACGGGCAATGCCGATGGCCCGCCTGTGACCATCGTCAACTGTGACGATCGGAGCCCAGCATCACGGCCAATGCCGATGGCCCGCCTGTGACTACCGTCAACTGTGACGATCGGAGCCCAGCATCACGGCCAATGCCGATGGCCCGCCTGTGACTACCGTCAACTGTGACGATCGGAGCCCAGCATCACGGGCAATGCCGATGGCCCGCCTGTGACTACCGTCAACTGTGACGATCGGAGCCCAGCATCACGGCCAATGCCGATGGCCCGCCTGTGACTACCGTCAACTGTGATGATCGGAGCCCAGCATCACGGCCAATGCCGATGGCCCGCCTGTGACTACCGTCAACTGTGACGATCGGAGCCCAGCATCACGGCCAATGCCGATGGCCCGCCTGTGACCATCGTCAACTGTGACGATCGGAGCCCAGCATCACGGGCAATGCCGATGGCCCGCCTGTGACCATCGTCAACTGTGACAATCGGAGCCCAGCATCACGGGCAATGCCGATGGCCCGCCTGTGACCACCGTCAACTGTGACAATCGGAGCCCAGCATCACGGGCAATGCCGATGGCCCGCCCGTGACCACCGTCAACTGTGACGATCGGAGCCCAGCATCACGGCCAATGCCGATGGCCCGCCTGTGACCACCGTCAACTGTGACGGTGGACACGCCACCACCGCCAACAGTGGAGGCCCGGACTGTCGCAGGCAGAATGCAGTTAGTGCAGCTTTTATACCAATTAGCCTCTGCGTGGTGATAATAACTGGAAGATGTGCTTAAAATGATCGATGTCTTCGCCAAAAATGTGACTTGTATTTATCCTAACAGCCGCCTATTCACAACATAAAAACGTTCAGAGTTCCAACCACCATCCCAAACTCCAATCCAGCGACAAGAATTCACAGCGTTCGTTAAACAGCTTATCGGTTCCTTTTGTCTTAGAAGCTGGATTCCATGACTAATCAGTACGTTAGTAGATAATGGCATACATCACCATCTATGACAAAATAATATATTTTCGCCTTTCGTACCACGTTGAAGACGTTAAGTAAGCCCCCCCTGCTCAGGTTCCAAGGCCTGTCAACGGCATCTGCTCCTTCCCCCCCCCCCCCCCCACCTAGCTCACCAGCCCTACCTGACAACAAGTGCGGGGAACGTCTTGCGGTAGCTCGGCATTATATATATATATATATATATATATATATTGTTTTTAATGTCGCGAGACGTACGCCGTTCCTGAAACAGCCCAGGTAATGGCTTTATGTTCTCAGACAGTTGTGACCTCCAAAGACGATACCACGCGGCCATCTTGTCAGACCAATATCCCAGCGTTGAATATTGTGTCAAGATTTTCCTATAACGCCGCCTTCGAAGCCTTTATTCGAATCTGCTCGCCGCATCTGTTCCATCAGCAAAGCTGCATGCTCTGTCATGTTATACAGCAATCCCATATCACATTTGCTTTATCGCGTATTTGCGTTGCGACTGATAATTGCGTTGCAACAGCGGGGAAGAAACTGGGCTCACCAGACATTAGGCGCAGGTTAAAAACAGCTGGATACCTGTGTATGTGATGGTTAAACGCGGTTCGCGTTCGAAACATGCAATCAGCAGCGAAATCTGACTAAAAGCCAATTGCATTCCGTCTTTGGGATTTTGGGTTATACATCACCATAAATGGAATGTTCCACATTTGAAAATATTGAAATAAGCGTCAGCTACGATAGAATAAGCTCAGTTATAACCATTGGTAAACTCTTTAATGGAAAATAGAGCCCTAGATCACAACATTTGTGTATTTCGAAGTACACTCCTCAGTTCATCGTGTGATTGCGCGCGGAATGTTTGTGTGATAGCACTCACGTGTAGTTCCTCAATCTGCCTAGAGGTGGCCCGCGGTGGTGCTGGGTGAGTGCTGAGCCAAATATCGTTAGGTGTTCGCGTATTGGCTGTTTTCTCGTGGTGTTCTTCCATACTTGTCCGTGATTTTCGGTGCTTACTTATATTCACATACTCAGTTATAGTGTTGTTGTCAAGTTATCCAATTGCAAGTGTGGCTTGCGCGATAACTGGGAAGAATGTACCGCTGCACCGGCACGTAGAACGCTATGAATGTAAATGTTCTGTAAAACGAAATTCGTGGTACGCATTTCGACACCCATATTTCCTTCCGTGCTTCATCTTGGATCCTCACCACGTTTCGCGTGTCTCGGTCGGGTGGAATACACCCACCGCAAGTAGGTCGAGAGGCCCCCGGTGGGACCCCGACCGCGTGCCAAGCGCACGCCCTGCGGAGGGAACCCGCGCGGGCTAAACTCAACAGGTTTTCACTCTCCCTCCCCCCGCTAGGCGCGTGTAATCGTGCTGTGCCGTTATCCGGTTTGCTTCATTCCACAGTCCTGAAATGACCAATTACGGTCAAAAGGGCGATAATCCAAATAGCCAAGTTGTGTTGGAATCTCGTGCAGCTTGCACAACATTGGTTCACACCGAACTGATGGCCGTTATCTCAGGAAATCGTGATCACGAACGTCTGATATGGACGACGCGACAATTATGTTTTATTGACCTTGAACGCCGCATGACCAGTGGAGTTGCCGCGTTTGAATGACGTCATTATGACACGTGGACGTCTGGGTAACCTTCAAATAGTCTCCACGAAAAAGTCTAACATCTGCGCGAGCATGTAGCTCAGAAACTAGAACATTTTCACGTTTTAACAAGGACAGGGCTAGGACCTGCACCAAATGATCTCTTAAGTGGCTATTTCGGTTCATAATGTCATACAAATGTGGAACACTCTTTAAATCCGAATGCTTGAGCGGCCATGCTTTTATTGACCATGAGCACAAAACAGCTAATGAAGTTGGGTGCTCGTGTAATGTTTCTATGACGTCCTGCATGTTTTGGGTGACTTTCCCGTCGGCCGGACGTCACATGCAGTTCGGCGATGTGCAAGCATCGAGCCCAGAAACAAGACGATTTTATTTTTTTTAAAAAGATTGGCTTTGAACTGCAGTGAATGGTCACGAGCATGGCTATCCCAGCTCAAAACCCAACACAGATGTGGGACTGGAAGTGCGGTGTGGCAGAGCGCGCATGTCAGACGGAGACCACGAACCAAAATGGCATGTGGTAATTATCATCGACGGAGAGCAATTCTGGAAAGTTGGAGAGATCAAAGAGGCAGCACACATGTCATGGGCTATCAGGCCCAACAGTAAGCCAAGCGTAGATATCAGCCCTATTTTTTAGTCAATTCCGCGGAGAAATTTTCGTAAAGCCAGGAGATGAATGACGCCATATGTCCGATTTCTTTAGCTGGGAGAACGCTGGACCGGCATTCAGAAGACCCCAGTTCGAATCCCAGCAATGCAATGTCGAGGAGATAATTCGGGCTGTGGCTTATACCTGGCTGAAAGCCAAGCTCTCTCCGAGCCTTCTAAGGCCCGAAAAACACCTGATGATGTGTCCCAGATCGTTGCCTTTCCGCCCTCTTTCATTCTGACCAATAGAGAACGATGGCCGGTACATCCTACCACACCAAGTAAGGGCGATAGACTGAACAGTTACCCTATCTGTGAGCAGTAGCTTGTTTTCTACGTCTTCGATCTCTCTGCTTGCAAAATATACTTTAAGATGTTGGGTACCGACACGTTTATTTAGTTCCAAACCAAAGATTATAATCTACATTAATGAAACTAATATTTTGGACGATGAAAGGGACACATTTCATGGAAAACCTTGAAATGGATGGAGATGAAGGCTGACGTCCTAATCAAGTGCTCGAGGGCTATGCCCATACCCAAAAATATGCGGATCTCCCCTTAATAATGTCATTAGCGTACCATCATCGCCGAATAAACCAATAGGGACGCTACTCTAAAATACACCGCCCACGCCAAAATGGTCCACACCGAATTATCGAGATACATGAACCGTAAGCGGCTAATGGCCACGATGTCGATGATCTCGGCACTAGAACTGCAATTATCGAGCGACGCCACCGCTCGAGACGAAACTCGTCTGTCACGACCGCCCACCAATCAATAGACCATTAGTGCGACAAGGCCTGAGTATAATTAGTCTGCGCTTTGGCGGGGCGAGGATTACGGCCGATCCCATCGCCCCAAGGGATGGACAGTGCGCGAAGACAGTAACTGCAAGCCGGAGGGCGCGATCACCGTGGTCCAACAAAATGCGCGTGTTCGCAAATGATCTCAATGAGCAAAACGGCAAAACTGCCATCACAGCGCACTTCCTGCGGCTTCGACCCACAACTTACGGGGTTATACTTTGCATTTTAGCCAGCGCCTCTACGCACCTACATGCGCCTGTCCCCTGCTGCCAACATACTCCCAACACCCCCACCGGACATGCTATCCTGTCGCGAGGGGCGAAACACCCGCTTGGTTGGCCACGCGTCGGCTCTGGTCCGTCCCTGTTTCGGGTGCAGTGGTCGACCTGTTGACACCGGATCGGCCTGGCCCGGCTAGGCCGGCCGTGGCGGCGGCGGTGTGAACCAGGCCGAGATCAATAGGCGCCCGGGCCTCCGGTGATTGATGATTTGGCACGTGCAGCTGTTGCACGGACACCTCCGGCGCCGCCTGTATCGAGCGACCGACGGCCGAGCGGCGGGCAGACGGTCGGCCCACCAGCGGCCCGCCGAGACTCTGGGGGACTGACGGAGATGGCTGGTCCACCAGCGGCCCGCCGAGACTCTGGGGGACTGACGGAGATGGTCGGCCCACCGGCGGCCAGCCGAGACTCAGGGGGACTGACGGAGATGGCTGGTCCACCGGCGGCCCGCCGAGACTCTGGGGGACTGAAGGAGATGGCTGGCCCAACGGCGGTCTGCCGAGACTCAGGGGGACTGACGGAGATGGCTGGTCCGCCAGAGGCCCGCCGAGACACCTGGGACGGCCAGAAAACTGTCACTTTGCCGAATGGCGCCGACACCTAAACACAATCTGGCCCGCGCGCCCACAGGAACACAGGCAGAGGCTGTCGAGACAGTTAGTTTGCCATGGCTGACTTACCAGGAAACCGAGGAGACTGCCGAGAATGTCAGAGACGGTAGGCTCATCGACCAACCCCCTGGCCCTCCGCGGGAGACTACCGGAGACGCTCGGTCCATCAACATCTGCGCTGGGACGGCGCTCCCTCCCTCCCTTCCTCCCTCCCCCGGCGTCGTGACAACCCGTCCGCCGGCTCTATTCAGCCTCTGAATGGCGGTGCGACGGCAGCACCCGCGCGGCGCCCAGGCGCTTCCGCCCGAGGGCATCATGACCCCGGTCGGCCGCGCTGCCAGGGCAACGCACGCTCCCAGCGTCGGAGCGGCCGCGCACCGTCCGCAGCCGCTCGAACGCCGGGGGCTACAGCTGTCACGCACCGCGCCGAGCCAATATGCACGGATCCCGTGAGTCAGTGGACTCAGACTGCTGAGCACCGGCAGCGAAAAGAGCTCGGCGTGGCGGTCACTCACCTCGGGCCGGCCGGCGGAGGCGGAGGCACGCCAGACTGCTCCGGTCGGCCGGGTACATGCCGGAGACGAGCCGGGCCGGCGCGCCGTCAGCGGCCGGTCGGGTCAGCCGCAGCCTCACGCGGTGTCCTGCCGGAGACGGCCCGTAACGCTCACCGCCAGCAGGGCTCGTGCCGCCGGGGGTGAGCCCCCCCCCCCGATCTACGTGACCTCTTGACCTGGCCGGCCGGCGGGAAAGCCTTGCCCGGGCCGCAGTGGACGCATTCAGCTTGCTAAATGTGGTAGCCCGCGCTCCGCGCTGCGGCGGTCTTTATCCATATGGAAATGGGCGGCCACGGGATGTCTAGCAGGCGCCATGGAACCTGTCAAACAGCCGTGCTCGCTAGCCGAGCCAGGCCCATGCCATGGTGTGGCGGTGGGGACAGATTGAACACAATGCGGAGGACAGATTGGGCTTGCCTCCTAATGGCCTGACACCAGCTGAAGTAAGAGTGCCACGATCATAGGTCCGACCCGCATTTGGCGCGTAGCTGCATATCAGCTGCACGCGAGTCACGCAACACGCATGCGTTTGCGGCATCCATCATTCGAGTGGACATGGCCTCTCCTTGACTTAACTCATGTGCAATTGTGTTTTGGTGTCTTGCCTAACGTACCCACGGATGGGGCTTACTCGAAACGAAACAAAGGTTTCAAAACTTCCAGGTGCTAAGTTAAGCAAGCAGCGGCATCAACGATGGGTCCAAGCTAAAGCCATCACCCAGAACCAACGACGAGGTTTCTTCTACAACTTCATGCAGCTCTCCTATTCGAGCTGAACAAACTCAGATCAAGTGTACCCCGCAGAACAACGATGTAAGCACCGTGGATTACATTGTAGGTGCTGAGAAGTTAACGCTTGAAGTAGGCACTCCAAGTCGTTGATGTTTCACGACTTAAATGAATGTTTGGGCCTAAAGTAAGCAGATGAGAGGCCTTTTAACACCAATGCCAATACATTCCATCATTAATACCAAAAGTATTGAAGAGTGCGTTGGATGAAAATATCATTTAAAGTATTGCTCATTCATCGATGGACTCCACTGTTTGGATTTGATTTGATCACCTGTAGCGTGGAACATACACTGTGCGATCAATGGAGATCCGCCTAAGGCCAGGGTGGGGAAAGATCCCGAGTGCTCCCCTAGGAGCGCAGAATATCTACGATCGTCACAGACTTAACGTCAGTTTTATGTGCGGGACGGCTCGCAACGCACCCTTCAACCCCCCACTCCCACCACCACCCCAAGGCTTTTGTTCCGCGCGACGCGCAGCAGATTCGATCCCATAGCATGCGCGGTTACTCATCGTGACCTCAAGACCAGAGGAACCTAAGGGGCGTACCTGGCTTACGAGACGTAAGCCAGAGTACGGGTCTCGGGGTCAATCATGCAAGTATCATGAACTTGGGGGGATGAGCAGCCAGTGTAGAACACGACACATGCACCCTAAGGCGCGTTTAGAAAGGAACAGTGCGTGGTGTTTCGTTTCCCCAGCCCATTCATAGTTACATGAAGATAGGTGGGAACTGACAAAGATTTCTGGCGATTTGTGAAAGTTTAAAGAGAGTGCTCCACATTTACATGGAGTTTTGAACTGAAATACCCACATTGAAGACCTTTCAGTGCAGTTCACAATTACGTTCACACTGTTCACAATCACACTGCTCACAATCACAATTTCAGTGCTGCTCACACCTGCCCTTCTTACGGCCTAAGCTCCTCTGGTTTCTGAGCCCCACACCCGCGAAAATGGGGAAAGGTATATCGGGCGGAGTGTTTCAAAGTCACCTTGGCATTCGTGACGTCATAATAACGTCATTCAAATTCCACCATTCCATAAGTCATGCGGCGATCAAGGCCAAGAAAAAAATAATTGTCGAGGCGTTCATATCTGGCATTCGTGAGCGCGATTTCCAGGTTAACTACCGTCAATTGGCTCTCAACTAATGTTGTGCAAGGTACGATGACAATCAAAGCATGACGCTTTGAGGAGAGTGCTTACTAAACAGAGAATTTTGCTGCCTGGAGCAGTCTTTTCCACACAAAAATCACACCAATAGTTGCAAGTGAGCTTGCTTCATCGTATCTAATGATTGCTTCAGAATCTTCAGATGTGAAACGTTTCCTTTAACATGACCTTGTTGTGTCGCACGAAACGAGATTTCCTTGTTTTCACAAGGAAATGATTGTTGATTATCCTTCGCAACACTAGCATCGAAGGGGTGGGAACGCCCTAGTTGGATACGTATTTGGCCTGTGGGTCGGGTTAAATTGCCGTCTGACCTTTTTTGTTCCGAGCGCTAAAATGACCGCTGTAGCTGCTGGCGTCCTTAAAAAAAAATTGCACGTAGGCGTACGCTGCACAACCTTTTTTAAATTACTTCGTTTCTATTGACACGTTGGTAGCATTTACAGAAGCAGGAATACTACCTCAGGTTATTTCAGGTATCCGGAAAGGCTCAGAAAATGCGTCGTGCCGCTTTGCAAAATGTTGACTTCCATTTGTGCCGTGAAGAGCACTCCAAATAAGTTTATAGCTCGGTAAGCTGACGCTGCGGGACGTTCAAATGGAAAGGAAGTTGGGGCAAAACAAGGATGAAGACTTTGCACGAGATGTGCTCTAGCGAGGGTAAACAAACTTCCAATACCATATATTTGCCCTAATGTTCAAGGACTCGTCATGCATTGCGCACTATACAAGACCAGCCTTGTTACTAGCCTATAATTATAACAGGGGTGTACGCACATAGTGGTCCCCGGCGCCACGCGCTCCCCTCAACAATTTTTTTACATGTATTTGTGTGAATGCGACTACATTTCAACATTAAGAAATTCAAGTCGATGCGTAAAGAAATGTACATCAAAAGTTTGCAATGCTATTTTGTCATGCAACAAATTTGGCACGTCTGTGTCGCGTTTAACATGCTTTCAGTGGCAGACCTTGAGTTCTGCCCCTCCGATGGCTCAACCCTGCATACGTTCATGGTTAATCTCGTATTTCTGGATCTATGTCTCGTGTTGTTCTAGCTGAATGCATCCTGGGACAAAGGAGGTTGAGCACATATGTTGTTTTTCCTTCTGGTATAACTTTTTTGTTTACTTAGTTTTTGTAGAGGTTTTCACACGTTAGTTTTTGTTGTTTTGGCGTAATTTTCTTCTGACTTGTGAAACTTGCCTGATTGGTTATACTCGCGAGCTGTCTAACTACATGGGAACTGAAGTTGCGCAGGCAACATTCTCGCTTCAGTCGTCTTCACATGAATTTATACCCTCTGACAGGCCCGGTTTACATGTCGCCTTTACAGCAGCCATCCACGGAAATGATGGCCACGGCTCCCCACAGTCTCAGCCGCCGTCAAAGCACCCGTACAGCGCCAGGCGCTGGAGCGACTGGATGAAATAGCGCTCCAGCTTGTGCCCTCTTTCTTAATTTTTTGGTTTGAAAAATGGCCTGCAAGAGCCAGAAAAGCTTGCATCCCATAGAAAACAAAAGAAAACTGGGCGATCACATTCCATAAAGCGAGGACTCCAAGCTTGAATTTATTGAGATACGCATCAAATATGATGACATAAACTCACTAATAACTAATTGTATATTTTTAAGTGGAGAGTGGAGAAGACTGCTCTAGAAAACACAGTTGCTATGTTTATTGAATATGTTCCTCGATGCGTCATTGTTCGATTACGTCATCGTGCCTTGCACAGCATTGATTGAGGGCAAAATGATTGCCGTTAGATCTGGATATTGTGCTCACGAACGCCACATATGAAGGGGTCGACTATTTGACTTTTCTTGGCCTTGATCACCGCATGGCTAATGAAATGACAGGATTTGAATGACGCTATTATTAGGTCTTGAGAAGGGTATGATTGTAAACTGCACTGAATGGTCTTAAAAATGGTTATTTCAATTAAAAAATATGCAAGCACTGAACACCGCCTTCGAAGACGATGTTTCACATTTGAAGGTATTTAGACGCGTATTGGACATGATGGAAAATAGCACTTGTAACTGTTTACTGCTCCAGATAAAACTTATTGATTTGGTAAATACGCTCCTCAATGCGTCGTCGCTTATCACGGCTTGGAGCGTTTTAATGACGTCAGAGTTGCAGCTAGACTGGTCGTGTCAGAACTGCCACTGTAACGGACGGATTGATTCACTTGAACTACTTCAACCCACTGCAAGGTGGTTGGTTAATTTATGCGCTCATTAAAAACTGACGATGGCTATGTGCGCATGTTTTGACCTATTTCAGTGTCGTTCTTGTACACTTTTCCGCGGTTCCTTTTTATTTGCATACGCATCCTTGGCTATGGCGCTTTTCTGAAGCTATTTCATGCCCAGTCTCACACCCTTCATAGCTAGCAGGACCACTCAACTGCAGATAGGGGAGAGTGGGGTGGCTTCCATCATGCTCAAGTAGCATCAATTCCAATATCTGCAATGGATGGCAGCCTTGGGTCGCTCACCGGACGCACGACAGCTCCGTCTACCTCTCAGTGTACACCCGGTTGCAATCGTGTACTCGTCTTGGGGTGAGTATGACAAACACTTGTTTTACATATTGTTAAAAATAAAAGCCATCGGTGTAAAAGTGTGCTTGAGGACTCACGGCAGAGCTAAGCCAATCTGATTGCTATTTTGAGTGGTGGGAAAATACATACGTCATATAACCGCAAAACATTTGGCGGCGGCTTGCCGAGAATTTCGGGGTGGGGCAAACTTTCTTCCAAGGTGTCGGGTAGTACATATTGCATCAGTTATGTATGTTACATGTTGCATCAGCGGTCCAATTAACTGGCAATATGTCATTGACTGACTTAATGTCAATGTTCACTGATACGATCGTCATGACTTATTGTCACCCATGCAACAACTTGACACTTGCATTACCATCTACATCCATGAGGTCTACATGAGCAGCTGAAACCGATGTGGCAGTGATGATGAAACAAACGCTTTTTGATAAAAAGGAAAAATTTTCATGGCGCAATCACGACGAATTACAACTTGGCATAAGCCGGTGCACTTGGTCTATATATCGTAGCGACTTCAGCTTGTTTGCGATGCAACTTACTGTATGA